ATTTGTATGAAATACTCTGAACAGGAAAACCCACAGACACAGAAAGGAGGATGGTGGTTGCCAGGGGCTAAAGAGAGGGGAGAACGGAGAGTGACTGCTACTGGGTTTCTTTTTGGGGTGATGAAAAGTGTTCTAGAAACTGACAGTGGGGATTGGCATACAACTCTGTGAACATACTAGAATCCACAGAAGTTTATGCTTTAAAGTTCAACTGAACTTTACGGTATGTGAATTACATCTCAATAGAGCTCTTACGGGAAAAAAACGACTGCACAAAATCACATAGTGACATCTCTGTGCAGGGACCTGACTGAATGACTTTGCCTGCTGCAGGACAGACCATTATAAAAATACACACAATCTGTTCAAACGAGGAACTGATTTATTTTCCTACCACCAAATCCCTACAGTGACCAACCATAAAGTCAAATCCACAGTGAAAAGAGGAAGGAACAAAAGAGCACACAAACTGCAATTCGCCGGCAGGTATGAAATGGATCTAACCGGAGACCGCACAAAGAAAAATGTTTATCAGAACTGCTCACTTCCCTTTGATTACACAGATTTAAACAAGTCAAAGTCCTTTTTAACACATGAGAAAATGTGCCAGCTTCTTTATTAGCACAGAGCAAGGAAAAACAAGCATTCTCTCCTCTAACAAAATTAACATCCCACAGAAGGTCTGTTTGTACTTGGCCGTCATGAACCTTTCATCTCACAGCACTGCTAAATTAAACAAGCCTATGTTGTATTGAACACAATGAGCCAGACACCCTGGCAGGCTCCTCAACCTCACCAGTTAACGCTGAAGAACATTAGGAATAAAGAGGATGGTAAAAATGACAGTGATGGTGGTGATAAAGCAGCTGTATCTTCATTCTGCCCAACATATCACTTATTCACAATAATGGAAACTTTCTACCAACAGTGAGGCCCTTTCTTTGTTGGTGTACACATGAAGAGCCAGAGAGATCTGGATTCAAGTCCTTGTTTTTGTCTTATTTTGTATTGTTTTAACATATTAGCTAAGGGGGCAGGGTATAGCTCAAGTGGCAGAGCACATGCTTAGATAAGGTCCTGGGTTCAATCCCCAGTACCTCCATTGAAAAATCAAATAAATAAACCTAATTACCTCCCCCCTGAGGGGGGAAAAAATACACATTAGCTGAGTGCCCAAGGACAAATGTCACAACTAAGGCCTTCTAGTCTCTACAGCTGGGGTGACTGTATCTAGCCTCACAGGGTCAATGTGAGAACAAAATGAAAGGATACACGCAAAAGGGGCAGACCAGTGCTCAGTACGTACACCGCCACCATAAAAATCCTCACTGCTTTCAACTCTTAACGCAAGTACTCATTTCAGAGCTTGTATCACAGTACAAAAAATTGACACCAGCCATTCTTTTCTATCCCAACGACATCTAAGCAACTGAAAGATCCCCTGAAGACTTCATATTAAATAAATTATTCCCCCTCCCATAGTACTGAAAGTAAGAAAGCCATCAATAAAGTCTGTTTTAAATGTATGAAATCAGGGCACGACACAAAGCATTCATTCACCTGAGAGGTATTTAAAAGCAATGAACTGAGACACACCAAGAGAAACCCTTACTATTAGAGACAAATGCCTATTTTTCAGTGCAATAATTGGTAACCTTTCCATAAAGATTGATGCAATCTGATTATAATTCCCAAGTGTCAGTAATCAGTTCTTAAGGTAAAAGAGAAAGGAAGCGGGATGGTTTCAAGCACTCCCAGAGAAGGTGTAGGAGGATATCCTTCCCCGCTGACAGCAGTTCATGTCTGAGTGATGGCTGCTAGAACATTCAGACTGAAAAACTTTTGTTACATTAGACTAGACTGAAATCTATTTAAAACAAAGCTTACAGGGTTTAACAGACACAAACATAACCCTCACCATGAACTAGGTGTCCTCTTTGAACAAACGGGCATGAAGGCAAAGCTCAGGTGGAATTCCCATATTTGTCATCACCCTGCTTGTGATACAGGGGAAGCTATGGCCAGAATCCCATGATGGAAGTCTATTCAGAGACAGGATCTAGACTCTGCAGTAGCAGACAGTCAGACTCCCTCTGCCCAGCTCCAGACAAATTTCCATCATGCCACAACACTAGGCAAAGCTTCCAGGCTTAGCAAGGAAGGAAATTTCCCCAGGAGGACGGGACATTCAGAGGCTGGAGGTACCTATCCCTAGGGAGTTTCACTAAGCACTACGCTCATGACGGAACTTGTGGCCCAAAGCTACTGTACTCTACCCCTCTTTCCCAAACTCTCCCCTTAAGACTCTGAGTTAATAAAACCTCTGTGAGATCAACTCCTTATGGACACTACATAAGTAAGCCTGGAGTGCTGGCTTTGCTAGGAAGCTGTTATCTATACTGCATATAAGCACTTGATTTTTTTTTTTTTCCCTCTCACTGCAGGTCAGTACTCTTACCCTGGTCATAAAACAGTTTCATCTGAATCTTCTACCACCACAAATCCTGTATATGAAGACAGAACTTCTTCTCTTTCCAACTTTCCAATCAAATAACCACTTGCACTGCCAGTCTAAACTTTAAGCTGTATGCCTAAAATAGGAAGAAACTGTTGCAAATGCATAAAATCCAACCCATTAAAAACATAAGAATGTCTTAAAATCTGTTTAAATACAGTATAAAAATTTTTACAAATGTAGCTAAGAGGAGAAATAAATGATAAAGTCTTAATTTTAATTAAGACTCCAGTTTAAGTAC